CTCTTTCCTAATCTGGAACAACAGGAATGCACAATGCCTCTAGGGACCTGAAAAAATTCAAAGAACCAAATAAAAAACGGACAGATTTTCCCCCTGCTGAACAATGGAAGATACTTTGATTTCACTTGCATTTTCTGCAGCCCTGAGCCCACGCTAGCTTGGCTCTGTAACAGAGCTGCAAGCAGGAGCCCTACACCAGGAGCCAGTAGACGTTGGTTCTACTTGCAGCTCATCCAAGAGCTAGACCTTGGGCATTCACGTCCCCCCTCTGAGTATCAGATTCTTGCTATATAAAGTGAGTGGGTTGAACTAGAGGGCCTATTAGCTTTTAAAAAGCATACATTCTTCCACTTAAGGATTTTTTAAACAAAGGCAAGTATTTCTAGCATCACCCAAACATTCCCCAGTCCGTAATTAAACTGACAGACTCCCTGGCTTATAAAAGTTAAACTCCACAACAAACGACAGACACCACTTGGCCATGCATTTTCATCAAATCCCCTTCTGTCAAGAGGGCTGAAATCTCCCATCTCCTAAATCTCTAGATGATTCTAGCCCCCTGAGATACCAACTTTGTATAATAAAGCCTACATCCACAGGAAACCAGCTCATGGGAACCCTAGGAGAGTGAAACATATCCAAAGGGTCCAGCCAAATCTTCCCTATGGTAAAACAAGCAAACTTTGCTTTATGAGATAAAGCTTGTTTTAAGACAAAGTTATGTTAATAAAACCAGGGCTTACCTATGTGTCCTTTAATCTTTCAAATAAATCCTATGTTGCAAAGGAATCCTATGTTGAATCCTTTTGAAAAGCCATTAGGAGTCACCTCCTAATTTATCTTTGGTGTCAATCCAGATTTTCAAATCAAATCCATAAGCATTTAAAATGCACCCACCCCAAGGCTGTGTCTATGCTAGAGGCTGTGGTAGATGCTTGGTCTCTACCCCCACAGAGCTTGCATGCTCGCTGAAAACAGAAAAGGAGAGTTTGGGAGTCCAGAGCCCAATGGGAGGGCAGACTCCTGAGCTGGTGAGCTCAGCATGGGCTGCAGCACATCAGGCAGTCTACCAATGTGATGCCCTTTCTGGCCTTTGAAAACCCTCTGGTGTACGTACAAAAGTGAGATACCCACTGACAATCACTTTGGCATTGAACTCCTATTGGCTGAAAAAGTGCAGGTGGGGATATGAATAATGAGGACAGGTCAGACAAGAATGCAGAGGGAAAAATCGGAACATAGGTAAGAGATAGAAAAGACAAAATAGTTTGAAAGAAATGCTAATACCCAGAAGGAGCAGGAAAGTTTGCTTGAAGGTGACAAGGAGACCCAACTACTCAAAGATGATGCTATTAGTAACCCAGTGCTCTGGGACTGAAGTGGCGGGCCCAGCAAAGAGAGATTTTGCTGCAGCGACTTATTTCTAGTCCTGCAAGGAGCAGGAGGAGAGAACAAAGACTTCCTTTTCTCTGTCTGCTGTTACAATATCATTTACAAGTCTGTAAAGCTTTCTGAGGAAAAGGGCTGGTTTTATTTATTTCTGCACTCTGAAGACTGAGCACTGTACTTTGCTTGTAGCTGCTGCCCAAGAAATGCCTACAGAAGAAATGACTGACAAATGGATGGATTTAGAATCTCCTATAACGCCTGGAATCTCAGAAGGAGGCAAAACCAGACATGCCCTATGGGGCAGTGGGATTGAGGGGGCCCTTCCAAAGGGGAGGGTGTTTACAAAATTCTCCCAGTGGCCCCTGAGCTTTGGAGTTAATTGGAAATATGAAATATAGGCAAGAGGGCATTCTTCAGCCTTTTCTAGAACAAAATAATTTATGCAAAATAATTTCCCATTCCCTTTCTCTCTAGCTTAAGGACCAGATTTCCCCTCATCAGGACTCCAGCCCTTACCCTCAGCACCCTGAAACTGGCACTCAGAGCCCTCCACCACCTGGTTTTGTATGGGTCAGGGTCAACCATAGAAACAGCCGCATTAGGAGATGTACATTAAGGGATTTATTGTAAGGAATTGGCTTACACCATTGTGGACGTTTGGCTCGGCAAGTCTGAAATCCATGGGACAGGCGATCAGGAAGGGCAGGCTGGAATTATCAGACAACAGCTGAAACTGCAGTCCACAAGTAGAATTCCTTCTTCCTCAGGAAAACTTAAGTTCAGCTCATAAGATCTCTCAGCCAGTTGAAACAGACTCAACCAAATTGTCTAGAGAAATCTCTACATAAAGACAACCATTATGAATGTTAATCACATCTACAAAATTTCTTCACAGCAACACCTAGATTAATGTTTGATTCAATAACTGAGACAACAGCCTAGCCAAGCTGACACATAAAATTGACCTTCATAGGCTTCTAGTTAGTTGCCTGTCCTGTCTGAACTCTCAACACACCTTCCCTCACCTCACCTCTCCCCACATTTGCCTGCCTCCAGCCTTTGTTAAAATTATCTCAGCTCTCTATCCCCAGGTTGCAATCTGAGGGTCATTTCCTGCAGGACCCTTCCCAAATCCTCTCAATGTGATTGCATTTCTCACACCCCCATACTTAACTTTGTATGTACCTGTCTTGCCTGCTAGGGGGAAAGGATTGTATACTAAGTATTCATTCCCTGTGTGCCCACCCTCCAGAAGTTCTGGCATATGGAAGGATCTCAGCACATTTCTTTTCAATTCTATCAAACTTACAGAACCCATCACCACTTACATATAATTCAGCCACACTCCTTTCAAATCCTCACCTCTTAGGATCCCCTACACATTGTCCCTTTTCTGATGATTTGTCTTCATTTATCTATCCTTAAAAGGTCTAAGGGCATTTTTTTCTAAATTCTTTTAATTCATGTCTCCTTTCAACTTTCTCCTCAGGACTACTTACTGTTGATATTGTGTAAGCCCCACCTGCCCCTAAAGAGTAAGTCCCTTCCCCATGCTCTAATATTGGTTACCATTCCAGAAAGGAAAAAAGAACAAGGATAGCAGTATTATTTGCACACATATTTACATTCTGGAATTTGGTGATCAGATTACCTAGTGTTTGCCCTAAGGGGACATTTTAGTTTTAATCTAATGAGTTGATTATTAGATAGTCTAATTAGATAATCTGATGGCTCATTCCTTTATCTCCTTCAGGTCATTGCTAAAATGTTACCTTCCCAGATAGGCCTTTTCTTACTACCCTACTTAAAATTATACTCCTCCTCCAACTCCACCACCAGCACGGCACATTATCCCACATCCTTGCCTGATTTTTCTCCATAGCATTTATCTCCATTTGACATATTACATGTTTTCTTTTTGTTACATGTTAGTTGTTTCAGAATGTAAACTCCATGAGGGGTTTTTGATTGTTTACTGCTGTATTCTCAGTGCCCAGAACCTGGCCTGGCCCATAAAAAATACTCAATAAATCTTCACTGAAACAAATTCCTTGGGGACAAATACTTCATAGTCCTCTCCATGCCTAGCACACTGCCTTGTATGCAATAAAGCACACAGTGATATTGGATGAATGAACTGTGATGGAGGACTACTAATATTTTGCCTTGGCGCTTACTTCCTTCTCCAAGTATTCCTATACATCTGGGCCTATATTAAATTTCTGAACTTGTGAAAGTATGAACACGGGTCAAAAGGAGAGGTCCTCCACGGACACCACTGAAAATGGCAGGAAGAGAAAGATAGGATGCTGCTTTGAGTATTTTCTACCCTTGCCACCTGAACAAATCCCTTCCCATTTCTGGGTCTCAGCTTCACCATATGTAAAATGAAGCTAGTAGGCCAGATGATTTCTGAAGTCTCTTCTCTTTTCACAGTTTGTAATTATGAGCACTCTAGTGCTCATAAGTAAATTTGTATGATTTTAAATTGTATGATTTTTGATTCTAAAATTGTATGATTTCTCTCTTCTAATCCATGGTTCGAATATACCTGACAAAAAGGTGGTATAAGAATAAAAGCTGTCTTTGGTCCAATTAGCAAGTATCATCATAAAAATAATAAAGCATGGTGCAAAAGGCCACATTATCAATAAGCAGCTGCTGCTGCTGAGGCTCACATGAGGCAGATAGGACCAAAAACCAGGTTTTCTGATTCATTCAGGGCTCTTCATCCAAAGTCCCATAAGTATACTAGATTTTCTTTCCTTTCCAACGGTTAGATAAATCAGGCCTTTATTGCCCAGAAAGTTTGAAAAATCCATACTCCTTCAGTTGTATGAACAAACTTGGCCCCAGCGTTAGAAATAAAACACAGCTTTCTCTTGCAGTGTCTGGATGGTGCAGATGGTATGCCCTATCACTTTCCCCATGGGACTTGCCATCCAGGCACAGGAGAGGCTGTGCAATTGCAAAGTGCAAACAAACCTTTTGGATGCACCTGTGCTCTGGGTGTCTCTGTGATGGAAACGTGCTTTAATTCGGCCCAGTCCTTATACAGAGATAAAAATCATTTCTGTCCAGAAACATGCAAACTCATGTCCAGAAATCTCCCCTTCATTCTGACGAACTGTGGCTGCCATCTTCATAAACCTATTTTACTTATTTATTTATTATTAAATTATTGGGGTAACACTGGTTAATAAAATTATATAGGTATCACATATACATTTCTATAATACATCATCTACATATTGCATTAAATAGATTTTCTTAGAAGAAACTAAACCAGAGGTAGACTTACTTTCTGGCGCTGAACAGAAAAAAAAAAAAAAGCGTCGCTGGTATCCCGCTTGCGGAACGATCTGGCCCTACGCGTCACCAGCATCCCTCCACCCTTAATCAAGCGGATCCCTGGGGCGCTCTTTAGCAAACTCTCCCCGGCAGCCTAGCTACAGGGGGCGGGGCTATTAGCCTCGCCTCATGGCTTCCAGCCAATACCTGAGAGTGTAGGAGGCAGGCGAAGCTACAATGAGGACCCGCCCCTCGCTGCCCCTCAGCTAATCGGCACAGGCGGGGTGTGGACTTGCCTGGTGGCCCCGCCTCCCTGGCTCTGAGCAATTTAGAGCCGCGCGCGCAGGGCGGGAATGTAAGATGGCGGAGTAGCAACGCGAAGCAGTAAGTATTGAGGTTCTGAGCCGACCTCGGTTTGCATCTCGGCAGCAGCAGTGATCACTGGGCAAAGAGTGCCTAGGGTAATTGGCCAAGATGCCGAACATCAAAATCTTCAGCGGCAGTTCCCACCAAGACTTATCCCAGAAAATTGCTGACCGCCTGGGCCTGGAGCTAGGCAAGGTGGTGACTAAGAAATTCAGCAACCAGGAGACCTGGTAAGGGCGAAGCTGGGACCGCAACCGGCCTCACCTGCCCTGGCGGCGGGGGCGACGATTGGGCTGCAGAGGGTAGGGGGATGGGGCCGCTGCATGAGTTCTGGGGGACCGGGTGTGGGGGAAGGGGCAACTCTGGGGAGCGTGCTCTACCGGCTGTTTCCGTTATTTTACCTCTCGCGGAAGGGTCACATTGGTTCTCACCGTGCTGAGGGTTGCAGTCAAGATGGAGCTTGAGGCAAAGCTTCTGGGTTTGAAGGCAAGGGCTGGAGGACCCAGCCTAGGGATGTTAGCTGCCTAGAGCGACGGGAGGGGAAGGACGCTTAGCCTCGACTGTGGGGCCACGTGGCTTTGTGCCTTCCCTGTTGAGCCACCCAGGTTGGACAGGTGCTGCTTCAGCTTTTGCACCAGCTTACAAGGGAGAACGTACGGCATACTGAGAGCCCTCCTGGTATTCTAATAGAATCTAAGAAGCAGCTTTTCTATTCGGAATTGTGTTGGGTTTGGTTTTGAGGGAAATTAACATGTACTGAGGGCGCCAAAAGTATTACTGAGCACTTCCTTAGATTGACAAGCGTTGGCTTTTCACATCTTCAGAATCTTAGACTCGGAGCCATACTTAATGTTAAATCTAGTTGATCAGATACTGTGATGCATTAACTCTGCATCCTGATGGCCAGCATCTCAGCTTGAGCCATCCAGAAAATTTTAGGGAACTTTAATCCTGGAATCCTTGACCTTCCCCAGTGCAACGACTAGTACAGATAATACAAAAACATATTTTTAGCAAAGTCTGTCCTGAACTTGTCCACTTCTCTTGGTGCTGGGTGGGAAATTTTGGAAACAGTTTTGAATGTTAAGATAATTGAAGAAAGAGAGTGAAAGAGCTGGATCACACAGAACTTTGCAACTCAATTTTTTTTCAATTAAACTTGCTTCCTCCCAGCCCCACTTGCACCCTCTTCCTGCACCTTGAGGCCATCTTAGAGATAACTTCGTTTTCTTAGCTTTTCAATACCCCTGCCACCTAAACATAGAATCTTTTGGCTCTGATAGGCCTACTTTGTGTTTTGTTGTTACTCTGTTGGTCAAATCAGAGCAGTGCTCACAATCTTACAGATCTACTCATCTATGAAGGGGCAAGTTTACACCAAACTTAATGACCAGTTAGTTAAATAAGATTGCTTTGAACATGTTTTCATAAATGCTTTTATTTCCATTTTTCTTTCTTTAAACTTATTACTAAAGTGTAACTCCCATTATACCTTTTAGACACTGGTGATAAAAACAAGCATTCATCTGTAGTGGACAGTTTCCTTTCGAATACTTGATTATTGTGCTACTGGTTGTGATGCAAGTGATAGTGCAAACACTGATCCCATCGGTATCCAGGCAATACCTTAGTGGAAAGAGGCTAGCCAAGCTGCCGACTTCAGTTTTGACCACACCATTATGACTCATGGGCGGTGCTAAAGAAGACAAAATAGGACCAGACTTTGCAAGTGGCATTATAGCTAGGGGACAAGAATAATTTTCATTTAGAGGGTTTTGTTTTGGTCCCCTTAAATAACTGGTTATTAAATGTTTTTCCTATGCTTTATAAAAATTCAAAGAAAAATACAAGTTTTCCTTTTGTTAACCCTTCACCCTCTGCATAGTAAAACACACCAGAACCTGAGGCTGTATTGGGAGAGGGGAGGGGGAGAACAACTTCGTTTTGTACTGATTGATTTATCTGAATTTATCAGTAATCCTAATCTACTGAGATATTAGGCTGATTTCATTTTTAAACAACTAGACAGTAACATGCTTGGAAACACTGGATAAGATTAAGCCCTGTGTGGAAAATTGCTGATTGGTTAGGTTTCCTTGTTTCTGGCTTAAATCATTAGCTTTTTGGTTCCTTAGATGTTTGGAAATCCTCATAATCAAATATGTTGCCTAGGGAGCTCCCCCCTCCCACCAGCCTTTGGCTTTTCTGCACTGCAGAAATGGTAACTGCTACTCCGTGTGACTCTTGTGATCTAAAGGTGGACAGGGAAACTCAGTGGGTATTGTGGGTCATCAGAAGGGGGATTGCAGAGCCCATCCTCAAATGAGACAGTTTTGCTATTCTATTTGCTACAGTTTTGCAGAATCTCAGGGTTTGGTGCTCTCTTGAGCAAAGTGGCTTTTCTTTTGAAGTCGTCAGGATCATCCTTTGCTATCCAGTTATTTGGGAAACATACATACATATAAGTGGTGTATTTCACACACACAAATAGTTAAGAGAGGTTAAAAATGTAGGCTCTGGTCTCAGACAACCTAGGCTTTCTTTGCCTCAGTAATCTCATCTATAAAGTAGTGTCTACCCATAGAGTTATTGTGAGGATAAACTGAGAAGGACTGAAGTTCTGAGAACACTGTCCAACACAATAAATGTACAGTAAATGTTGGTAAGAAGAGGTGGTGGTGGTATTGCAGAAAATAAAGAAGAGGACAAGGGAAAAAAGACATCCCCAAAATTTCCACTGCCCAAGATAAACTCTTCACATTTTGATGTATGACCTTCCAGATGTTTGTGTATGTGCTCATATACTTTCCCAAATATGTAAGACATGTTGCTTATAGCTTTCTTCACTTAGCAATATATTTTGAATAGTTTCTCCCCTTAATATTTAGTCTACATGGTTTTAAACAGCTTTTAAACAGTATAATTTGTCTTAATAGTTTAGATAACCTAGGCCCTTTTATTAGGTATTTTTTATCTAATGCTGTTAATATGAAAACCCTTGAACATAAATCTTTGATCATTTTTATTTTCTTTCATTTTTTAGATAATTTTTATAAGAGTTTATTTGAGCCAAATAAACTGACTAACTACATATGCCAGAGAGCAAGATCTCAAGTGTCCCCCATTTCTGAATATTTTCTTAGGATAAATCCCTAGAAGGGGAATACTTGAAGGTTAAAGTGCATGTACCATTTTTTAGGCTTTTGAATACCTATTGCCAAATTGCTCTCCAGAAAAGTTAAACCAATTTCTGTTCTCTCACCAGCAGTAATAATATTAATAGTAATTAATGTATAGTGAATGCTTATGATGTGCTAGTTCAGATGCTAAGCACTTTACACACATTATATTTAACCCTCTCAACACTGCTGTGAGGAGTTACTTTCACTATCCCCATTTTATGAATGAAAGAACTAAGATTCAGAGGTTAAGTAACTTTCCCAACTCTGGGTATTACTGTTTAAAATTTTTGCTAATGCAGTATCTCATTTGGCTTTTAATTTTTTTGAATATGATAAAATTTTTTACTTGATTCTCTTCAAACTTTGGTTTATTTGGTTACTCTCAATAGGATGAGAGGGGGGAAAATTCAATTTTGGTTGCCTAGGATTTTCCTAAGAACTATATATCCTTTGGTTAATTAATCCCATGTATTTTGCATATGCCAACATCTCTGTCTAAGTTCTTAATATTTTCTTAAGAATACCACCTGCATTTTAGATTTACTTTATTTCCTTTTTGTGTTTGTTAACATTCTGTGCTCATTCTATGCACTTATGCCTGATGCTAAAGGAAAGGGTAAAGGAGAAGCTAGTTTTCTCATTGAATGGACAAAGCCAGTCTGGCCTCTCCAGAATGGCTGGGAGAATGATTGGCCCAAAGCCATTTGGAGAACACACCATTAGCCAGAGGGAGAGAACAAGGCTTGTTATCCTTTAAATTGCCAACCTAGGCCTTTCTACCTGATAGATTATGTTAAGAGCAAACAGGTTATAGGTAGGCATAACTGTTGCACCATCAATCACTGCCTAACTTCTCTCTTAGAGGAAACCATAAAAATAATACAGTAAGTTCCCGACTTACGAATGAGTTCTGTTCTGGGGGAATGTTCCGAAGTCGGATTCGTTCGTAAGTCCGACAAAGTGAGTCGTATACACCTTTAACATAAATACACAATGTAAAGCCAATGGTTGAAGGATTCATGTTATAAGAGCGAGCGATGTCAACCATCTTTTCGCCTCGGTCCAATCTCTCAATTATTTTCACTTTTGTTTCCATGGTTATTGCTTTGTGCTTCCTAGCAGTCCCCTCCACATCACCACTGCTTTCCCTCTTGCTTCCGGACACCCTGGGCTTTGATTGAGCACTGTACACTATCGCACTGGACAGTAAGCACACAGCAGCACAACTGTGACAATGGCCGGCAGACACGTGAGCTACTTCTGCGATTTGTTCGCATCTACGAATGTTCATAATGCGAAGGGTCCGTTTGTATCTGAAAGTTCACAATTCAAATGTTTGCAATTCGGGGACTTACTGTATTAAGATTTCTTGAGGATTCATCAAACTGTTTATTGACCAAGCTGTATGACCTGAGTGTATTTCATGGGCTTTTAAAGGCTTTGTGAACATCTGTACCATATAAACTAATAGAGGGAAAGATTCGTCTTGGTTAGTGAAATTAGAATTATGCACAGTGGAACAAGGCAGTGTCCTAGTTTACTTGCACCGCTTTATTTTAAATATAGTTAAATAACTTTTTCAAGTTATTAGAGAGATTCCTGGTCGTAACATCCTGCTTCTATGCTTGAAGGGAAGTTTTAGTCGTAAGTTTGGCTTTGGGAAATGGCTGAACTGTTGGTTGATTATCATCAGGTGATAACACAGAAATGGTACTAGTGGTTGTGGTAGGTGGTGACTGGTGATTTTTTTAAGAATTATTTTTCAAACCTTATGTGATGTTAGAATATTTTTTTAAGGAACACCTGTATTAAAGCTATGTATTTAGAAAATGCTCTCTGTTGTTTAACATGGCAGTGATAATTTTATAATGCCATACAATAAAATATTTGAAGTGTGTTTCATGATAGTTGACATGCAAAAGGTTCATTAAGTAGATACACCAGAAGCCTTATAGAACAAACAATGATAGTAATTGTGCCAAGAATTTGGCATAAAGTGATTACTGAAGTTTAGTGTTAGTTGAACTGTATCCCTTGGCTTTCTGGCA